GCTGCGGCTCCTGTGGTTGGAGCGCATTCAACGGCGTTGTCGTGGCCGGTCACGAGACAATGTCAACGCCTGCACCTATGCAACTAACGCCTTAACACAGGCCACCAGTTCGGCGTTGTCAGAGGAGTGCGGCGGTGGCGCTGACTGTGTGAAGGATTGGACCGACAACTGGTCGGCATATACCCTGTCGGCCATCTCTGTGAGTTCCGTCAGCGTATACCGTTGGCCAAAATACCGTAGTATGGAAGACAAGCTCTTTGGTAGAGTCTGAAACCAAGACAAACGGAGTATATTTTCTTCGACATTCATACTAGCCTTACATATAACTTAAGCGTTTCATTGGGGTTTTGAGGCCGTTGTCTCATCGACGCAGGCCGCCTGAAGTTGTCTGAGGCGGCATTCTACTGGCATACCGAATCTGTCCAAAATCACATCGTGGAGGGCATCGTACGATTTGTCTGGTGGTAGATTACACACAATGTCGCTTAAAACCGGGGCTGTAGGCCTCGGGAGGTGACCTACGAGCTGTGTACACTTAGCTAGCTGATTAGTCACCTGAATCTAGCTTAAAACGTGCCAGGAGGAATTCGGGGTCCTCCGGTATAAACTCAGGTATGCGTGCTTGTAGTCCTAGGACGTTCGCTTCTCCTACTGCAGTGATGGGCTGTCTATCTTTACCCTCAGCGAACTGATTGTACATTATTAAGCAGGTAAGAATACACAAAAAAATTAATGTGCAAATTGATGGAGGAAACCCCAAAAATAACGGTGAAAATTAGAGCACAGGTGCTGTGTATGAATACAAAAAGAAAAAATGTTCAACAACGAAAACAGTTATAAGGTATGTAAATTATTCGAATATGTGGTTTCGTAAGTTAAATTGAAATAACCGGTAAGAAAAAAGGAATAAACTATAGTTAAACCGTCAAAAATAATAATAATAATATAACGGTACGCAAAATAACGGATAAAAAATAAACTGCGTTGTGCGAAAGCAACAGACTAACTGAAAACCTCAGTCCGTGCTAAAATGAAACGGGTTAAATGAGCTCGGGTTCACCGGCTAAGTACCTAAGACGGGCTAAGCAACGACGCGTTTACCAAACCAACCAAGCGAGCTGATCCAGAGGTTTTTAGAGCGAGGAGTTGATTGAGAACAAAGTCGAGTAAGAGCGTCGGAGTGTAATGTGACTTGCAATGGAAAGTGTACACAGAGCCAAGCGCACGATACAATTCACCGGAAATTGTGTCATGTTCGAGGTCATATGCGATCTCGAAACAGAGAGCAATAAAACAAAATGGGGTCTTTACATGAATCAGGTTACCGGTCTTGAAAAGTGAAAATAATGTTACGACATGTAGCACAATTTTCGGTGAGTCGTATCTTGCGCTTGCTCCCTGTACACCTTGATACTGCAGGTCACATAGAACTCAACGCTCGTTATCGGCTCCGTTCTAACTATAGAAAACCAAGCGATAAACTTTATCAGTAGACTTTGTAGCGCATCGCCGCTCAGCCCGTCCTAGGTGCTTAATTGGTGGGCCAGACGTGATGTTTTGTAATCCGTTTTCCTTTCGACACGTCATGGACTGAATTTTTTTAGTGAGTCCGGCGTCTGAGCACAACAGATTTTGTTTTATTTGGTCTTTAGTGTATATCGATAGTAATTATTTTCTGTCTAAACTGCATTACTGTCTGTTTATTTTTTACCGTTAAACCGAATTTTATTTTCAAAGACCTATTTATTTGACTATGTTTGCGATTTTAAGCTTCTTACATCGTTACGTATATTTATACATACGTATACATAGCTCCAGTACTTTGAGATTTACTGTTCTTGGGCACCTATTCGTCAATTTGGTTACTTATTTTTTATTTGAATTCACATTTGTCATAATGTGTAACCAAATCTCTGATGGTAAGATCGGCGCGACGGTCTCGGTAGATGAACCGAGCATATTGGGCTGACAAGCACGTATCCCAAAATTCATACCAGAGGACCCTGAATTCTGGATGACTCAGGTAGAGATCCAATTTAAGCTGGCGCTGGTGACCAACCATCTTTCTTTTTTATTTTACTTTCTTTCATTGGATGCACAAAGATACAATTTTTCAGGAAGGGGGAAGCGGCCAATCAAAGGGCTACCATACAATACACAAATGGGGAAAGTCAGGGGGTGGTGGTGGGATTCGAACACTCGTCCTCCGGGGTGATAATTGGTGACGTTACCACCGAGCCACCACCGCGTCTAAATTTACTCAATTTGTAGGTAATCTGGCTAGGTCCATGGCCCCGGGCTAGCGTGACATTGCATGCAACCCGCCGCGAGTCAGTCCGTACGACGCACTCTGGGACGCGATCATGGGTACATTCAGCATGCCCATAGAATGCCATCCAAACCAACTGCGGATGACTTGTGCCTCCAATACAACAGCCTGGACACACCCACAAAGCTCTTAAGTTAAATGCAGAGCTAAGCTGACAGCCTCAGTGTAGACGAGAACGTCCTCAGTTTATCCTGGATGCAGGCTGTACTGAAGTGTTTGTTCTCCATCCTACAGTATTTCAGGAACGTTACACCCCAACAGAGCTTGTAGGAATGGTTGACCTGGTCTATGCTAACCAACTCTCGGTCCAACATTTCTCGCATCCCTCGTGAGCAATGCTCTCCTCAGCTAAGGTAGAACTGGTGGCCTATGTCAGAGTTAATAGCAAAGATTCAAGCGTTGACGCTATATCGTGATCGCCTATGCAGACGGTGTCGGACAGGCTCCACCCATCGGAACAGTAGCTCTAGACGTTCATCCTCACGCTCCCCGTTTAAAGGCATTTCCCGGTATCACCGCCATTACGGCGACGCCGCCAAGAGGCGCCTCGTTGCATGTACCCATATGTCTAAATCGGGAAATCGGTAAGCCGGCCGGCCCAGGCGACGACTGTGTCAGGCTCGCCACAACCAAGTCACCTGTTTTTCGTCACGGGCCTGAATACCGGGATACTTTTCGTGGTAGATACGGGCACACAGGTCAGCGTAGTACGCCATCGCCCAGCTGAACCCCATTGCTTCTCTACAGTGGAAATGGTCGCTGCGAACCGCACATCCATTGAAACATACGGCTAGCATTCACTCACACGGGACCTGGGTATTCGCCGCAGCTCACCCTGGGTATTCATCGTCGTCGACCTTCCACAGTCCATCATCTTTATCGACTTCCTCCAACACTTCAATCTTATGGTTGACCCTGTTGGACATAAGCTCATCGACCGTCTCACTACCTGTGAGACTATTGGTAAACCCACGACCATACCTTCAGTGAGCCCGCTTTTCTGTCCACGACGCCACGGACAGCTTCCGGGCGGTTCTATCCGAGTTCCCGGAGTTATGCAAATTGCCAGACACCCTAACTCAGGTGACAACCGATATCGTCCATCATATCGTCAGTCGCGGTCCACCTACTCACTGCTGTCCCAAACGCCTCGACCCGGACAAGTTAAGAGTATTCCGCGCTGAATTTCAGCACATGCTGGATCTTGAATTCACCAGACCATCCTACAGCCACTGAGCTTTACCACTACACATGGTCAAAAAGGTCCTCCGGCGACTGGTGGCCTTGTGGTGACTATCGCTCTTTGAATAACGTCATGACCCCGGACTGCTACTCCATCCTTCCCAGCCAGGATCTTACAGACAGTTTAGTAGGACATAAAGTGTTTGGTAAAATAGCGCGTGCCACTAAATCCTTGTGCACCTAGACGATGTCCCTAAAACCGCCATGACCGCGCCGTTCGGCCTGTTTGAGTTTCTGTGTATGCCATTTGGTCTCTAAAACGCCGCTCAAACATTTCAAATTTTCGTCGATCAGGTGTGCCACGGTCTAGACAACTCCTTCGTATATATAATTGACATACTCGTGACCAGCGCCACTCCGAAAGAGTACGAGCAGCACCTATGCTCTCTTTACGCGACTTCTCCAGCATAGCGTCACAGTACTGTTCTTCGGACACAGGGACCTTGAGAACTGATGCAAAAAATGAGGAAATTTACAGAATAGACTAATCAGCGACCACCAGATGGGTGTGGACGATCAGCACCGAGAAAAGCGCCAAGAGTTTAAATGATGGAGACAATTTTAAGGTACTCGAAAAATAGGCAGTTTCAGATTATAAATAGTCTTTTTACTTACCATTTGGCCTTTGGGTTCACTCGGAAAGGCCGTACAAAGCGTCGAACTCTGTTGGTCCAGCGTCTCGCTTTCAGGTTGGGTTCCAGTGGTTCGATTGACTTGGGTACTGGAAGAGCGAACGTATCATTAAGTACGTACAGTGGAAGTGGAATTGACATTGGAGTGTGCTTGGAGCTTTGTTCGTGTCTGGGACGGAGTTGATTTTGGTGTCGGGCCCACTTCTCGCCCTCAACCTTCACGTCATACAGTATGCATCCACGCCATTTGATTATTGTGGGTTGCGCTAAATAGGGATAATCAGCACTGTAATCGCGTGCGTAGACACAGAATCCATTGGCGAAGGCACACTTGGGGACTGACAACAGATGAACACTAGTAGCCGACGGGATCACGGCTGCATGGACGATTCGCAGTTTCCGACCCATTAGCACTTCTGCCGTTGATTGGTCCGGTGAATTCGATGTGCACTCGAGACCATGCTGTCTGGTTTGGGCCATGTCGTAGGCGGTTGTCATGCCGGGAGTTTCGCGGCTTCCTAACATCGAGAGCACTGGCTTACAGTCTGCTCTATCTCGGCGTCCATTGCGGGCCATTATGCATAGCCGCGGGCGACAGCCTTCATTCTGCCGAGATCTCCGGAGTGGAATTGGCAAATGATGACTCGGCGGAGTAACACAGAGACAACCATACGATCGGACCACATGACGCACCCGTCGACGATGGATAGTGAATTCCGGCGTTTGAAGAAATGGATGAGATCTCCGGCAGTGCTCTTTTGTGTCCAAGAGGTGTTAATGAATCTCATCACCTTTTGGAGCACGGAGTCTCGCTTTGTTGTATCAGGTTTTTCCGAGGTAGTGACCGGGATGCCTCTGATATTGTCTGCCAGTTGAAGTTGGACATCCTCCTCGACTTTGACGGCTGCTATCACATTGTTTTCTTCGCCCGTCTGGTGGGTTTCAATGAGGCGTGATAATCAGACTGCCTGCCCAAAGTGTGCTGTGCGTCGGTATTGGATATCGAAGTCATACCCCAGTAGTATGGTGGCCCAACGTAGTGCTGGGATACCTTTCTTCGACCCGAGTATGGATAGTAAAGGATTGTGCTCCATGAGAAGCGTGGAACGTCTACTGTACAAGAACTTGTGGAACTTTTTCACGGCGGATACGATGATCAGCGCTTTTTTCTCCACTTGTCCATAGTTTTACTCAGCTACCAATAGCGTGCAAGATGCATGTGCAGTTGCTTTGGCGGATCCATCTGGGAACTTGTGGAAGATGACGGCATCGGCCGCGACTGTGATTGGTAGCCTTGGGTGGCAATACGCTACCGAGGGTTTTGAAACTAGCATCCGTCTAAACAGGTTGCTGAAGGATACAATGTGCACATTCCTGGCAGTGCGCTCGGAATCCTGGACGAGGGCAGAGTCCTTCTTGAAGTTCAACATTCTTTGGCACTTGGCGGTTAAGGTTTGCAGGTTGGCGTTTGGATCCTGTTCGATGGTGTTCAGATGCCGGCTTAGGGTTTCAGCGTCTCTGGGTAACTGAAGCCCACATAGGAATTTGAGACATTGGAATTTTGTTTTCGGTCACTGAACCCAATTTGTACCTCTCGCACTCTCTATGGACTAGGCTGGCATACTCTTGATAATTGTCAATGTCATTTTTCACCAGCTTTAAACACTGATAACGGATATTGAACAGGATTACCTTCTCGCCAAATGTGTTTGAAAGTTGTTTGACTGTTTCGTCAGATGAAAAGTCTCAGGGGCACTTTGATAAGATAGTGTTCTTGTACCGCTCGTGTTCCTTAGCACCCAGTTTGCGGATGAGAAATTGAACCTTCAGGCCGTTAGTTTTATTGGCGAATTCAACTGGGAAAATGTCTTACCACCTGGTGAGCCATAAGTCGAATGTGATGCCAGAGTCTGGATACTAGATGATCTCGGTGATCACCTCTGTTGGCGTGGTCTGTCTGGAACTGGAAGCGTTCGGTGACTGAAGACTGAGCGACCATAGCACAGCTTTAAACTACGACTGCTGCTGCTGCCGGATTGACTCCAGTTCTTCCGCGGATATGGACATCGTGGGTTGAGTGAAATACTCATCGCCAAATGCTGTGTCGTTCTCGATCAATCGCAATGTAACACACAACACGATGACGCACAAGATAACACACCATAGGACAATGCATAGTGACACAGACAATGCGCGCGGAGTGAAGTTGATGGTATCCAGCACAACATAATTATAGTGACACCCACTATCGACAATGAACGACGAAACGCAGACTGGACACTCACAGACGAGGTACACAGAGCGCGAGCGCACACAGAGACACGAGGTAGGTCCGAACACTACGGAGAAGTTACCTCAAAGGCCACACTAGTCGTCTAGCCCCACAAGTACGATCACGGTACAGATTGGATGTCATGAGCACTAGTAGCATTCTCCAAGCTACGTAAGCAAGAACATAGATGTTGTACAGCAAAGGTGTAGTTAACGCACAGAAAGCACGTCAAATTTACAGTGGGAAAATCAGCTGCGTATATACTGTCCTGGACTTAAGACACAGGGACCTTGAGAATTGACGAAAAAATGTGAAAATTTACAGTATGGACCGGTTGGCGACCACAAATGGGTGTCGACCACTAGAACCAAGAAAAAGCGCCAAAAAAGATTAAATTATGAAAAAATAAAAATGCTCGAAAAATAAGCACTTTTAGGTAAAAAAATAGTCTTTCTACCTAACAGGTATGCTACATCAACTTCTAAAATGCCTTTAATTCAGTTAACTATTGTCTTCTCCTGCGCAAGTTGAATGCCCTAAACTTGGCGCCGGGAGTATTGAGATGGACAGGTGAGTTTCTGCAGAACAAGTCTTTCTATGTGCATGTGGAAGAGTGCTGGTCGACCATAGGACGGGTAGCCAGTGGCGTAACCCATGGATCGCTACTGGGTCTCTCTTGTTCGTAATATTTCCAAATTACTTGAATTGAGGGCAGGATTATCCTACGTTCTTGTTCGCCGAAGACGTCAAACTCGTGTGTGACCCAACTAGCACAATACTGCAAAGAAACATGGATATACTGTTTGGCTGGACAGTGGACTGGGATCTCCCACATAATCCCGCCAAGTGTAGACATCTCATACACGATGGTTGTGCTAGCTCTCGGAGATGGATCGGAAGGGCAGGAAATCCTGACAAAATCCCAAGGACCCCAGAGGTAAAGGCCCTGGAGATCATGATTACTGTAGACTTCGAAATGGGTAGCCAGTGTTTGATGGCTGCCTAAAAGGCGATTGGGGCACTCTACCAGCTACTTAAAACGGTAGCCTCCCGAAATTCAGTGGTTATCCTACTGCTGTATAAGGCCTACGTTCGTCCTTACTTGGAATGTAGACATTGACTTATCGATACCCCGAGCTAATACGTACATGTCGCAAACGAACGTTCGTACAAAAACAGAACGAGACGATTCACGAAACGGAGAACAGGTTGTATTGTTACGATCTACAGAGCAAAAGGGAGATACAAAAGAGTGAGTAAGCTTGTGAAAAGTGAAAGCAAACACGTGCTGACCAACTAGTTGGACTTGGTGTGGTAAAACAATGGGATACAAAGGAGGAAGGGTACATGTAGAATGGGAGTTGGGTAGTCACTAAAGGGGCATTGCTTCCAGGCCTGGTCGCTATACTTCGTGAGAGACAGAGTAGTACTGGAAAAAATTCCATTTCGCCTGTTCGCCGAGCTTGGCAATCTTTTTGCCAACGTTTCAGCACCAACCGAGGTGACATCATCAGTGCTTGTGAAGTGACCAGTTCACCCGAGCTACGAGAACCGGTTTTCAATATTTTGTCAGTACTGGAAAGAGTTCAGCGAAGGTTCACCAAATGCTTTGCTCACCTTTGTGGTATGGATTACCATAGTCGCCTAAGAAGCCTCAATCTGTTCTCCTTGGGGAGACGACGACTCCGAGGGGACCTGATTGAAACTTTCAAGAGCTTGAAGAGTTTATGTAACCCGGAGGAATCAGTGTTAACGTTGAGCAAAAATAAGAATCTCAGGGTTCACCATTATAATTTAGTGAAGAACCGAGCTAGACTGCAGACCTGCGCTCGCTTATTCAGTAACCAACAAGGGGAACCCATGGAATAACCTGCCCGAGGAACTGGTAGCAGCGACTTGCGTCATAAGCTTCAAACACAGGCTCGACTTTTGCTGGTCTACGGTGTTTCCTGAAACACCACGAGGAAGCAGGGTAGGTAGACAAGTGGATACGGGGACGGTAGGGATAATCAATTGAAGATGACCGATGATTGTGGTTGATATTGATAGATGATGGAGGCACGCATGCCGACTCATTTGCAAACAGTGGCTTACAGGTAACTGTTCGGATGTCACTGGGTGGTGTGACAGGCAACTGTTGGAACACGAGGCAACGCCAGACGCTGCAACTCAACCAGCAAGGACGGAACTGTGTATGACGAACACTGAGGACCAGTTACTTGAATGCATGTGGCTGGACATCTGAAAGTGCTGCTTTAGGAAGGATAAGGGAGGAGTTTTACGTGCTGTCGCTAATTTCCACTAGCTTCCCATATTCCTCGACCTTCCCTTCCACCTGGGACAAAACTAGCTGTCCTATTTCATTTCCCCTCCAATTCCCGTTTCCTCACACTTTTACCAATCAATCTACACGGGACAAACTGACGGAGGCCAAAACACCCCCAAAGGAGAGGGTTAGGCGGCGACGTCTCCTGGGGTTGGTACAGTAAGACGCAAAAGCCCTAAATCACAAGGATGGCAGGAGTCAATGGTGGCCCTCCGTAGTCAACCAGCCCTTCACAGGGAAGCANACAAATAGTGATACATATTGGAGAACATTAATGCACCCGCTTTGCTGCTGATATGCTTATACATATATGTGGTTAAATACCAGTCCAACCCTGAGCTCAATACCAAAGGGAAGGTTCTCATCCTAGCTAAAGAGCGATACCAATATGCCAAACCTTTCAAAACCGCGGAGTGTCCGGCTGCGAAGTAAAATCCTGTCTCGCAATCTTTTCCTTTCTTTCATCGTGCTGGAGTGCCCGATGATAAAGTATGCATGACCTATCCAGAGTGATGATATAACGGCTGCAGAAACAATTCTCGACTGGCTTCTATCTGTTTCAGCCTGATATGACCAGGATTTCACCTTACAGCATGTGAGAACCTGAATCCTAGGTAATGCTCAAAAGAACGGCATAGGGGAATAAAGGGGACAAAAGAGAAAAGAAAAAAAGCACCCACGGGAGCGAGACCAGCACTCCTCCTGAGCGATTGACCAGCAACCGATACCACTTAGTGGCGACACTCGCCTCTCCAGTTCTTCCACTGGGACAGTATGGATGTTTACCAGCATAAACAAAGGTATGCACATGTGCATGTGTTTCCGCACACGCGATAATATGGATAAGTGTATGATTGTATGCACTCTCGTATGGGTACGCTGTATGCAAGCATTGGAGTATTACCAAATAATAGGTATGAGTGTATGGTAGTATGTATGCATGAATATAATAACAAATAAATTAAGACGATTGAATCC